CGACCTCGGAAGGATGGAAGGCTGAGTCAACCTTGAGCCGGCTACCTGGGATTTGAACCCCAGGTCGTGAGCACAGTTTAGCTGCAGTACAGCGTTTTAACCACTGCGCCACGAGACTTCCCCACTCTGCCCCTTTCACCTTCGGTGGGGACTCAGTAACCAATAATATCGTTTACAACTTTTCACCCCTTTCCACTAAAAAAACAAAAAACAAAACCAAAAGCATTGCAATAGGTAGTCCTCAGAGGACCTCTCAGATGTTAAGCAGGTAAGAAGAGACGCCAGGACACTTGGTCTTAGGCAAAAGGCCCTCTCCAATTTCCTTGCAGGTTCCCTCTTGCTTGCCGTCCACTTCTACAGCTTCACGAGGCCGACCCCTCTGCTCTCCCGGACAGCTCTCGGGGTCCTCCTGCTCATTCTGTCGCCCTTCCTAGCCTACGCGGGTAAGGAAACCCCGACTCATCCCTTGGGCTGGGCCTGATTTTGGTCTTGTGTCATGTATCTTCCTGTCCCAGCTTTTTTTCTTCTTCTTTCATTTTTGTTTTTTTTTTTGCCAAGGAGCTCCAGGCAACCTCCATGGCTCTCCTCCCCATCCCTTTAGCCTCACAACAGCCCTGCAAGGTCTGGCTGGCAGAGAGAGAAAGGCAAACTGGCCCAAGGTCACGTGGCATGTTTTCATGGCTTGGTGGGGAGCTGAACCCCCATCGCCTGAGCCCCTCCTGCTCCAGGACTTGGGCAACGGTCGCTCCAGGAGAGGAGAAGGGACTCTGGGTGGCAGAACGATTGCTCAGCCTGCTGGACTAGGGCTTGAGTTCAAATCACCCCTCAGTCATGGACATGGACTGGATGATTGGGGGGGGGCTTGTCATTCTCTTTCTCAGAAGGAAGGGAGTCATGTGTACCACTTTGGGCTCGTTGGAGGAAAGGTGTGTGTGGTGGTGGGGGGTCTAAAGAACCCTGAGGCTTCTAAAAGGCTGCATTTTCTGTGCAGTTATAGCTCTTTCCTTGTACTGATTGATGTCTGCCTTTGTGTGGAGGTTGGGAACTCCCTCTCCAAGCTGTCCCCCTTTTCTCCTTCTCCCCCAGGAGTGAGGAAGACCTTCCAGGAGGCCACGCTCTTTGTCAGCCTCTGCCTGACCCTCTCGGTGCTCTGGTGTGGCTATGGGGCGATCCAGATCCTGGCTGGGCAGGGAATTCTGCTCCATGCTGACGCCGACCTACGCGATGCCGCCGTGCCGGGGCTGGTGGCCTTGAGCCTGTCGCTCTTCCTCCTGGGCCTGGTGGGCCTCCTCCAGAGGGAGGTGCCCCTGGCGGTGGTGGCTCTGGCCACGTCGCTCGCCTGCGCCCATGAAACCGCTGCCCTCTACGACCGGGCCTTTGGCTTTGCTGCCGTGGCCTGCAGCCACCTGGTGGTCTGCTTTGCTGGGGGCTACGTGGGGCTGGGCAGGATCCTCTTCTTCCTCAGCCAAGAGGCGATCCTCCTGCCGGGCACCGGCCTGGCCCCAGGAGAGGCCGGGAAGGGGCCGAGCCCGGCCAGGGGGGCAACGGGCACCCATGACCTGACCCCGCTCAGCTTGACCCTGAACATGCTCTCCGCCAGCGTCTGGGCCTGCCAGCTCCTGGGGGTGACCGGGGGCCTCTCGGTGGGCCAGGTGCCCTGGCTTTGGGCCGGCGGGATCTACCAGCTGGGGGTCTCGGTCTTCTCCTACCGCAGCCTGGACGCCAGGGCCGCCACCTTCTCTGGCTTCACAGCCCTCCTGAAGCTGGCCGGCGGTTACTGCCTCCTGGTCTTGTTCTGGGCACCCGAGCCGCCTGCCGTCCCTGTGCCGCTCTCAGTGACCCTGGCCATCCTGCTGGCCGTCGTGGCCCTTTTTGTGGCCCTCGACAGCCTGGCCGACGGCCTGTATGTGCTTTTCTATGTGGCCTTTTGCATTGCGCTGGCCTGCCGTCCACGTGGCCTTTTCGAAGGTGGCCCCCAGGGCGTGGCTGTGGCCATTTTTGTGGCCTCTGCCCCCATGACTTTCATCCACCTTTACAACAGGAATGAAAGTGTGAAAATCCCACGGGGGGAGGGGGTGCTCAGGGCTTTGCTCTCCCGCCTGAGCCTCTGCAAGCTCTGGGAAGGGAAAGCCCCCCACGAGCCCTACTTGGGCTACTCGAAATATGCAGACGCGGAAGCGCTGGGCTACGCCTGCAGCGTGCTTGCTTCTTTTGCCATCTCCGTGGGGGCAGAGCCGACGGCCCTCCTAGCTACGGTGGTCCTACCGTGGGTCGTGGCGGCTGGAGGGATCTTGAAGTTCTTGTGTGGCTTTGTGGCCTTCTCCCGTGGCAAGACCCTAGAGAGCAGTGTGTTCATCCTCTACGGGTCCACGTGGGTGATCTGGGGCCTCGCGAGGTATGGGGGCCTGTACGGCTCCACCCGGGGGTTCCAGGTCGCCGTGGGCATTGCCTCCCTCATGCTTTCCAATGCCTTCATGGCCCTCTGTGCGCTTTTCCTGAGCGCCTCTTGGTTCGCCTACACCCTCACCTTTGAGCTCATCCTCATCAGCTTCCTGCTGGATGCCGTGGGGGCCACCCCGAGGGGCTACGACGTGGCCGTCACCATCATCTTCGGCCTGGTGAGCTTCTACTGCTTCCTGTCCTCTCTGGTCAACGGCACTTTCGAGAGGCCCCAGCTTCCTGCAGGGCGTTCCTTGGTGAGGCTTAGTGGCTCCGGAGGGGGACGCGCCAGGTGCCCCCACCTGCCAGCCAGAAAAGCTTCTTCGGTCAAGCAAGTTGCAGGTGAGGAAAGTCTTGGGTTGCAAAGGAGAGACTCACCGTGGAATCATGGTTTATAAATGGACACTAGAGAGAGAATGAGAGGGAGAGAGAGAAGAGAGGGCACGTGCCCATCAGCCCGACCCTTCCGGGATGGACAGGGTCAGCAGCACCCTCTGTTCCCCTGGTTTTGGCCTCCAGGTTTCGGAGCACCTGTCCCCAGCCTGGCGTCTCCTGGAAGTGCCTTGGGCTTGGTGCCCTTTTGCACTGGGCTCCTCTCCTCTCCCCTCTTGGTCCTGTCCTGTTCCTCGTGTTTCTAAGGGGACGACCAGAGGGAAACAAGGAAACAGGGTCGGTCCAGAAGGGCTCCCTTCCTCTCTGCCTGCGGTTAGCAGACCTCTTTGCCCTTTACAGGAGGTCAGAGGAGGGAGGGGGCTGCCTTGCAAGCCGACTTTAGCTGATTCCCCATAGGAAATGTTGCTAAAGTTCAGCAGTGTTTCTTGCAAATTCTTTGCCTGCAAAGGACAAGTGCTAAGGAAGGGTACCTAGCTTTGCAAAATAAACCACGAAGTCTTTTGTGGTCAGTCCTAGAAATGGGCAGCCTGCCATTGGTCTTCCTTGACCCCCCACCCCACCTCTCCTTACAGATATCATGAAGAGGGGAGGGGCCTGCGGGATCCCCACAGACACGGTCTACGTGCTGGCTGCCGCTTGCAGCCGCCCTGATGCTGTGGAGAAAGCTTACAAGTAAGGATGACTGGATTGCTTACAAGTAAGAGTGGCTGGTGGTGAGAACTCTTTCCAGCCCACCTTTTTTCATAACTCCTTCATCATGGAGCGTGGCCATTCCTTCCTTCCATTCCCTCTCAAAGTCTTCATATCAAAGTTGTGTTCTATGCCTGACTTTGTTCTCTGATTTAAGGCTTTTAAAAAATAGAATTTCACTGGGAACATTTTCCTTCCTTCCTTCCTTCCTTCCTTCCTTCCTTCCTTCCTTCCACATACCCCAGAGTCCTCAAATCATCACAGGTACTGATTGCGCCCCTCTTAGAGCCACTGTAGAATAATGTTTCCAAATCTCATCCCAGAGAGTCACTTCAGAAGAATCCCACGGTCGATCATATTGAAAGCTGCCAAGAGATCCAACAGAACCAGCAGGGATCTACTCCACCCACCCAGTTCCCAGTGTAGGTCATCCACCAAGGTGACCAAAGCAGATTCTGTCCTCTAACTAGGCCTGAAGCTAGACTGAGATGGAACAAGATAATCCGTCTCATCCAGGAACCCCTGGAGTTGAGGAAGAGATGTGAAGCCTGCCGTGTGCATCTGGGCGCGGCTACTAGGGTGCCCGAGACATGCAGCCCATAAACCTCAGCCACTCTTGGATCAAGGCAGCAGCTGCAGCTTCTCTGGTGTTACTGAATGTCTCCGTTTCCTGCCTTCTTTCCAGCACTAAGCGCCAAGCGCAGGACCGTCCCATGTCTCTCTGGATTTCAAGCCTGAAACAGCTGGAACCGGCCAAGCACCTCTTTAGCCCCATTCTCTGGGACTTCATGGACGCTGCCTGGCCCTCGCCCATCAGCCTGGTGGTGCCACGAGGTCAGAGTCCGTTCTTTTACTCTTCTTGCTGATCCTGTGAGTTCTTCTGCTTCAGCAGGCTGTTTTTCCTCTTGCAGCTTAGCCACTTTTCTTGCAATAATATAGTTTCTTGCAGTTACCTCGTTTTGATAACAAAGCTGTAGCAAAGAAAGCCAACAAGTTGCAATGAGGTTACCTTAATGGCATAACGAGTAATGTAGTTAAAATTCCTTTTGAAGGGCATTTTAATGTTGTTCTCCTATAACCCTTAATTTTTCAAAAATACAGTTGGTGATAACAAAAAGTGCTAAGTAACTGTAGCAATAACGAATGACTCTCTGAAGCATTGGTTCCCAGCCTGGTGTCCCCAGATGTTCTCGGACTAAAACTCCCAGAAGTCTCCACCACCAGTTGTGCTGGCAAGGGCTTCTGGGAGTTGCAGTCCAAGAACATTGGGGTTCCTCAAGGTTGGGAACCACTGCCGTAAAGGCCCCATGACAAATCACAGGAAGAAGTTACCGTTAAAAAGTAATCTTCCAGACTCAACTCCCAGTGTTTCCTGGAAGTGGGTGAGCTTTCATGTGGGTGGTTGACCCAGCTGTTCTATTCCCCCCTCCCTCTTTTCTCTCTCTCTCAGGGGAATGGGTGGACTGCCTGGGCATGAAGGACTCGGCCAAGTACGTCGGCACCCCTCAGAGCATTGCGGTCCGAATTCCAGATTGCTCAGTCGCTACCCATCTCATTGACTTGGTGAGCAGCATCCGTGCCCTCCCCTTTGGGACTGTCTCTGGAGTCACCCAATAGCCGGGCAAGAGCCTTGCCTGGCGCCAGGAGTAGCTCGGTCTATGGTTAGGCCTTCCAAGGTGGGCTTGCTTTGCTTCTCTGTCTCCAGACTGCAAGGCCTCTTTCTGAACTCAGCTTTTTCTTTGAAGCTGTTTCGTAGGAGTGGAAGGGAGTCTTCGGCTGAGGGGGGAAAACACAGAGGCAGAAAGAATGGTAGAAGCTGGGAAGGAGAATAGAGAGACACCTGGCACCTGTTTGTTCTTTTGAGGGAAAAAAATCTCTTCCCACTCCCCCCCTCAAAAAAGGAAAAAAAGAGTAGAGCTCTGCTAGAAAGGAAGGGAAGGTGGGGTCCCAAATTCTGTGCAAGACCCAGCGTGGAATTTTCGGCCCAGAAGCTCCTGAACTGTTGAGATTTCTCCTGGTTCTCAGTGTATTCCATGCCTTCCGGTCGCTCCTGACTTCTCATGGCCCTGTGAATTCGCGGCCTGCAGAGGATCATGTGGTTTAACAGCCCTCCTCAGGTCTTGCAAACTGATGGTCATGGCTTCCTTTCTTGAATCAATTCCTCTCAAGTGAGGGCTCCCTCTTTTCCTACAGCCCTCCCCTTTGCCCACAAGTCTGGTCTTCTTGGGTTGTCTCCAAAGCAAAATGGTTTCAGCTTCGTCGTTTTAGTTGCTAGAAAGAGTTTAGCCTTGACCTGGCCTAGAACGGACTTACTGATCTTTTTTGATCCATAAAGCTCGCTGTCCAGGTTGTGCATCTACACCTAGCCACTGGGGATCGCACAGCATGAATTGTTGCACTACAAAGACACCTCCTTGCTCATCGGGATCTCCCCCAGTTCCTCCATGGCAATCCTTTGGGAGCTTCAGGTCTCCTCTGGATTTCTCCGTGGCTGTCTCTGTTCGGGTCAATGCCTCGAGGGTCGGACGTGGAGGAAAAACCATTCCCTCTGTCTTTGTTTCAAATCATTCCTGTACTTCTCTGGGCCTTGCGCAGGATCCTAATTGGCCCCACCGCCTTCCTCTTCTTCTGTCATCAGGTGGGCCCCATTACAGTCACATCTGCCAATCCTACGGGTGAAGCCGACACGACCCATCACAACCAGGTGTATGCCAAGCTGGGAGACAAGGTAAAAGGGCCTTTCCTGCTCCCCTCCTGCCTGCTCTGTGCAACGATGGAGGTAGCGGAGGAAGAGGGCTGAGGGCACGTATTTGACAGAAGCGTGGACAGGATTGGACCCCAGCCTAGAGCCTGGGATGGGCTTCTGTGGCCTTCCTCAGCCTAGCTGATTCCTTCTTTATAGGTGGACGCCGTCCTGTGCGATGGGCCTTCTCCAGAGAACGTTGCCTCCACCGTGGTGGACTGCACCAAGATTGAGACAGGGAGCGTTGGGTTCTTCCGAGTCGGCATCGTCCCCAAATCCCAGGTCAGCTGAATTCACTGGCCGTAATTGTGTGCGAACGTGAAATCACATGTCCCACTCCTTGTCCGCTCATCTTGTTGGGAGTTTTGAAGTATCAGCCAGTTGAGTCCACTCTCCCTCCCCCCCTCTCTTTTCCTGTGCATGAGAGAGAGAAAGAGAGAGAGAGAGATGCACAGGAGGAAGATACACCCACTTTGTACAAAGCTTTGCACAGTTTGTGAAACCTTCCTCCCCTGGCAAAAAAGTGGTACTTCTTTCATTGCATTGGAAGGGAGAAGTCTTGCAAGGATTAGCAAAGTCTCGACCCCCCGTCTTGATAAGAACCAATGCAAAATGAAAATTTATCAAGATATCTGAATTATTTCAGCTGTTGCTGTCCCTCTTTCTTCTTATTATCTTTTTTTGGGGGGGGGGGATATATTATCTTTTTTTTGGGGGGGGGGGTAATTTAAGACATGCCAAATGTGATCAAAGGTGTGTGTCTGTGGGAAGGCAATTTACTGTCCTCCCAACTGCTCTTTCCCTCTCTCTGCCCTCCTCCTGCAGGTCCTACAGATCCTGGAAGAAGTGCAAAGAAAGCACCAGCCAGGCCAAGCCAGGAACGTCACGGCAGCGGGGGGCATGGATGAGCCCCAGGCCCTAGGGGCTGCTGGTTCTCCTTTGAAAGGGGATCCTCTGCCGTCCTATTCCAATGAAGGATTTCAGGCAGAAGAGGCCTCCGAGCCTTCTCACTGAGCAGATCCGCTCTGTCTGCCTCGTGCAGAGGCCCTGCTCCTCCAGTGGCAGAGGAAGGGGCTTCTCCCCTTGTGGCTTTCTCCCCAGGTCTCCTGCACGGCCCCTTCCACGGCCCCTGCATTCTCACGGTTTGGCTTCTGCCAAAACGATTCATATACAGCATTAACAGGCGAGGGACGGGGGGGGGGCAAGCGACAGCCCTGCCCTGTCTGTCTTTATTTCTTCTGAGGTCTGTAAGGAGAAACACAAAGCAGCCATAGCAGGGGCACCGACTCACGATGCAGTTTACACTGGGGATGCTGGGACGTTGTTCCTGAAATGACACCATGTGCGTACACACACACACACACAGAGAGAGAGAGAGAGAGAGAGAGAGAGAGAGAGAGAGAGAGAGAGAGAGAGAGAGAGAGAGAGAGAGAGAGAGAGAGAGAGAGAGAGAGAGAGAGAGAGAGAGAGAGAGAGAGAGAGAGAGAGAGAGAGAGAGAGAGAGAGAGAGAGAGGGAGAGGGAGAAGGTAGGATCTACGAGCCAAAGGAGAACGCACAGTACAAAAAGTAAAAAGTAATCTTCCAGACTCTACTCCCAGTAGAGTTGCGATGCAACTGAAGGAGCGGAGTTGCAATCACTGGCAACCCACGGGCGGGCAGGATCTGAGGACACCTTCCTTAAATCACTCTGAGGTCCGTGGTGGCCCACCCGGATTGTTTTGGAGTTTGGATTATTTATTCAACATCCGTTGCTAGACTGCAAACAAAACAAAAGTGTTTTGAAAACAGGGCAATGAAGAGAGCAGCAGAATGCCACAAAGTTGCTTCTCCGGCTGGATTCCCTTCCGTTCTTATATAGCGTCTGTTTTGAGTACTAATAAAATGTTGTTTTTAACCTCCCCCCGGAGGAGTTCGAAACATGATTACTGTTGATGCTGTTTTTTTCCTTCTGTCTCATTTTCATGCTAAGCTTGAGGGCGCCTACTTTAAATGGGGCTAGCACTGGATTTAGGTCTGGAAAAATAACCTCCCAGGGGATGTCTCTCCCTCTGTGGTTCCTCAGCAAGGGGTGCTGATGCCCCAACTGGTGTTAGGTTTAAAGCCCTCCTGAAACCCTAACGCCCGAAGAGGCCACGGCTGTTTTGAAGGCAGAGCCGCTGCGGGACCCAAACCTCTGGACCCCATTGGCCCTTGGACCAGTTTTGCGGGCAAATATGCTCACCCTTGCTTGGATTTGCCCCGACCGCCTGTGCTTCCAGAGGGCACTGGGTGCGGCCGTTCAAAAAAAGGGATGTCTCCAAGCTCTGCCCCATCTCGTCTAAGGTCCAGTGCCTGCCCTTTGGGGTAACGCGTGTGCCACGGATCAAGCCCTGGCATGCTTTGTAGGCTACGGGGATAGGGCAAGAAAAAATAAGGTGAGGCTCTAATTGGCAGGCATCCCTGGGATGGGTGCTGTGCTCTGCTTTGAGACGCTGCCTGGGAGCCACCTCCGGGGCCAGGAGAAAGGCCTTCCACCCCACCCACCCCCCAGCACTGGGGAACCTCACAGCCTCTGGGCTCCAAAATATTAACAAAGGAAGTGGTCGCTCGTCTCATGGAGGGGCTTCGCAGAGGTGGGCTGTTGTTGCTTCGTAGTCTGTGGCTTTCTTGCCCCGTAGAGGCCTCCGTCGGGTGAAAATAACCCCTTTCAGGCCCAAGAACTCTTTTGTGGCCACAGCTGGACAGCCGTGACCCTGTTAGGAATCCTTTCTGCGATGGATGCTCAGTTCTCACTCTGTGTTTCAAAGATCAAGCAGGGTTAATGGGTTCCAGCCAAAGGAAATGAAATAAAACGAAACAATAATAGCATGGAATCTTTAAGACAAACAGATTTATTTTCACTAGAGTGTTCACTGATGACAATCCGGTCCCTCGGGCGCATGGAATACCACGTGTCCCATTGCACCCTTTGGCCAGGGCTGGCTTTCGGTGGCCTGGATCTCCACTGGGATCTGCGGCTCTGCCTGCCGTGGGCCTGGCCACGCATGATCTGCACCTCGTGAGGTCAGCACAGCTGCTGGAGCTCTGTAGGCAAACAGGAGACGGGCCTTAACTCTTTGATGCAGCCCAAGAAGGCTCCTGTTCAAAAACATGGCTTGGTCTGAAAGGTGTCACACAAGCTATTGTGATAACATTCCATGGAAGAGTTGGAGAAGTGGGGGGGCCCTCAACTCTGCAAACCTCCCAACCACAGGCTTTCGGTTCAGAGAGAACCCACTGGCCAGACCAGGGGTGGGGGTGGGGGTGGGATGGTGAGATCATGGCTTCTTTCGCCTCACCCCACTCTGCACAGTCACTGGGAGCAATTTCCTGGGCAAGGGTAATAATAATAATTTCCTGGGCAAGGGTAATAATAATACTGGTGCCATGGCCACCGGGTGTTTCAAGGCAGAAAAACTATGAGGGAGCACTGACCTCTCCTTCACATAGTTGTGGAAATAATTGGAGCCAGTCAATAAGCATGCAGTCCTTTCCCTCCCTTGCCTTCTTGGGTGGAACCGCCTGAGCCTGCTGCCCGAGGCTCCTGAGAAGGAGACACGTCCTCACAGGACACCATGGCTCTACCAGGGCTCCCTAAAACATCCTGGATCTGCAAAGTCCCTGCTGGGTTGAAGGGGTCGTGGGGGTGAGCTCCCAAACCACCCCTGGTGGGTGTGAAGGGCCCAGCGAAGCCACGAGGGACGGGGGGGGGCATTTGAGATGGGGGCAACAGACGGGGATGGCAGAGAAACGTGACTCTCAGACCCATCCCAGCGGTGCGACCTTCCTTCTTGCCAACGTCCTGCGAGGTGTGGGCCCCAAACCTGGGCCTGGTTTGTTTGCCTCTTGTGAAGGAAGTGAGACTGACCTCTTCAAAGGGACCATGACCTTTACGTGGCCTCTACCCGTTTCATTCGGCATGAGCTTTCATCGCCAATGGCAAGTAACAGGAAGCCGTGGCCAACAGCCCAGGGAGGCACCGGCCAGCCAAAACTTGCTAGTCTTCCACATGCGATTGAGACCAATTATAAGAACGAGAGTGCACCAGCTCTGGACCATAAAGATAAACAAATGCAACACCTGCCAATATTGGTGAACAGTACAGTATATGCAAAAGTTGTTTGCATGGTTCCTGTTGCCTTGGGAACTGGTGGGAATTTGAGACTTCAGTATTGCAGGAAACAAATCAAGCTGTTAAACCTCATCTTTCTCATCCTGGTGCACTTTTGGTATTCTCAGTCTAAATAAAGTGTTCTGGGAAGTTTGAATGAGAAATCAGGAAACAGCAAATTTTAAGGTGTGGTCTGGTTTTCTTGACACTTTTTGCCAAGGGCTCACTGGGTTGATGCTTTCTCACTAGGGGCACGTGGCTTGCAAGAGAAGATGAGAGAGAGAGAGAGAGAGAATGTTTGAAGAGGAAATAGCCTTACCACGCAAGATTTTCCAGACAGATGCTGTCATGCAGTCTAATGAAGGCACTTGTTAAAGAAAACCACCATCCCCCAACACGGTCACAGCTAGACATCCGTGCTTCTTCCTGCTCTTCTGCCATCCTGGTGGGCTTTTCATTTGTTCCCATCTGCCATTTCCGCACTGCCCTCCTCCTGTATCTAAACCTCTTTCTTGAAATTCTCTGGGACTTGCCAGGAGGAGCGAGAAGGTTTGCCTGATCCTGTCTTCATCCAGGGAGTGACACAAATTGCCCCATCCTGTCCAGAGAGGATCCAGATGGGACCTGTTTTGCCACCCACTGCTTAATGGCACAGGAAAAGTTGAGCCCAGGACCCTAAGAGTGCAAGGAGAGTCCGTCTGGTCTGGCAGGCAGTCCGAGAGTTTGGAATAGCTACTTTGGTGCACTACCTGACCAGGGGACTCTGGGAATTGTGGTTGGAATGAGTAACTGTCCCAAGTCATGCCTTCATTGGGGCCATAACCGTCTGCTTTCATGGTGAGCACAACAGCTACAGGACGGCGGCGGTGGTGTCAGACTACGTGGTACAGTCGACATGCTATTAAGGGAGAAGAAGATGTCTGTTTGCCTCCAACATGAGTTTATCTCGCCTTTATGAGTTACAAACTAGCCTCCATTTGTCTTGCAATTCACAATCTGAAGGCAAGTACAGGCTTCATTTGCAAGTTGGTGGCTCATTTGGAGGAGCTCTGAAGAGCTTACATCTCTAGAGGGAAAAATATGCAATCACTTTGTATCAAACTATTACATAGTTTGATTTGCTTTACAGTGTTTGGTTATGGCTCCCCAAATTGTATCTTTCCCCAGATGCAGAGCCCAGCATTGTCCCGGTTAGGCAGCTGCCCTGACCCCAGGGAGGGGTTTTCTCCCTGAACAGTCTCCCTGTAGTTGGAAGCATCCATGGAAAGCAGTCCTGGCGAAATGGAATCGCTTGCCTTTTCATGTGGACTGGAGTCTCGGGGCATGCAGACGAGGAAAGTAAAAACTTCCTTTTTCTGAGCCATTTAAATACATCTACATGTAAGAATTGTAAGAATTGCATTTTTATTTATGTATTTTTTAATGTGTTTTAACCTATGTAAGCCACCCCGAGTAGACGCTGTCTAGAGGGGTGAGGTAAAAAATCAAATAAATAAATACATAAATAAATCTAGTAAATAAGCAAGTAGACATCTGGGTTTGGGGGACATTTGTGAAACATCACAAGTCAATGTGGTGCAGTGGTCACAGTTCTGGATGAGGCCTTATGAGAGGTGGTTTCAGATCTCCACTTATGTCAGGAGAAGGACTTCAAGCAAAGCCACCCTCTCTCTCTCTCTCTCTCAGCCCATCCCACCTCACAGGGGCGTTGTGAAGATGGGGTTGAGAGCAGGAGAGCCACGGATACTGCCTTAAACCCGATGGAGAAAAGATGGGCTCTAAGAGGAACGTGCAATTGAGGACTAGCCTCTCTGGAGGAATGGCCACAGAGATTTAAAAAACAAAACGCACAGTACTGAACGCCATTTTGAAAGGGGCTGCTTACATAGCCCCCTCTCCCCATCCCTGGGAGTGAAGACGCCACAAGCGCCTGAAGAAGTAGCTTCCTCTTCAGGGAGCTTGACCCTTGCTCTGCAGGGCAGGGGCCTTATTCTGCCCAATGGCAGGGCCGGGATGGTTGGGCTCCTGCTCAGAGGATGTGAAATGGGAAGAGCGGGTCTCTCTCCTTTGCCTCCATCTGGCGGCTGCCGCCATGAAAGGAGCGAAGAAGCCTCTCCGGTTGGAGTTGTTCTCCTTGGCAACATCCTTTCCTCTTTCTGGGTCGCAAGGCAG